ATCTCAAACCCCAAAATCACACAGCCAGTCGGGCTGGTTGGGGAATTTCTGGGAGTTGAAGTGCACCCGTCTTCAAGTTGCCAAGGTTGAGAACCACTGTACTTTGCCACTGTAGTGGCAAAGAGATACAGAAATCTCTAACTATTTGCCACCCACAGGGGTGCCTGGATCTTTCTACAATAACCTTTTGCATAATTAGATGAACTCAATTAGAATCCAGCAGAAGTACCCTAATCTGATCCTTACCTTCTTCTTATCTAACAACCTACAATGTTTCTGGGTGGAGGAGAGGATCCCAATTCCAGAATCTCTACCAAAGGCTGCTCTTCCTTGAGGGCATCCTTAGTCCCCCGTCCCCCGGGCCCATGAGGGGTCACCTCCTGTCTCAGGAGAGCAACTCGATTGCCGAGCACTGGCGAACAGAGCCGGCTCAACGGTTGGCACTTCGAACCCATGGTGGTGATGGACTGCTTCTCTTCTCTGCTTGAGGCGTCCTGTTCTCTGTCTTCCTCCCCCTCAATTTGCTTCCTGTCTGCAAATTTCCCTTCTCAGAAGTGCACCCACATGCTTGCCTTGTCACCACAGCCCTGCCCACCTGCTCTGCCACCCACCCCTGCCCCTTTCTGGCTTCCTCTAGCAGGAATAGCTCAACCCAGGTTGCTTCCCCCCCCATTCCCCCCAGGATCAAAAGCACAAGCACTGGTGAGCGGACCTGAGTTCCCTTTCTGGCTCAAGTCACGAGGCCCCTTTCTGGCTTGGCCCCATGACTGGCCTGATTCATTGTGTTTTGAGTGGGCAGACTCCTTTGTGGCTAAATAGAAAGGGCTGTTTCTTTATTCAGAAGAATCTGGGATTTCACTAGCGATGGCGGAAGCCACCATTTTTAGCTGGGGGCTGTACTATGCGGAGACAGGGAGCACCTGCATTTTTGCACCAAACTGAACTCTAGTTACTGCTTGGAATCTGTGGTCTTCAGAATGTTGCAGTGCAGTTGATTAATACCCCAAAAAGGTACAAAAGGAAATCTGCAAGGTATGGTCAGAAGAGTGGAGAGGGTGGCCACGATGTTGCAGTTGAAGCCGTTTTGTATGTGCCCTCTTTCTAGGGCGTGAACCGTCTTGCCTGCACCAAATGCTTGCAGTGTCCAGATGTTTGCAGGTTCACATGGATATACAGTTTTGTCTAAAACAACAGCCGGAACATCTGGATGTCCCAAAAGATAATCTTTCTGGGTACCACCTTGCTTCTGCCTCTGTTCAAGTGAATCTAATCTATCTAATCTAATCTAATCTAATCTAATCTAATCTAATCTAATCTAATCTAATCAAGCGGTGGTCATGAGAGTTCCATAAGTTTCTTTCATGTTTGCTCTTATGTTATTCATAGAGTCCTAGAGGCCCTCAAATCCAGTCCTTTCCCCATGCCTGCCTAGTCTCTTCTTGAATTCATAAAGTCTACCTTGTCCCCTCTGTGATGATGCAGAACAGCTCTTGACTTTCTTCCATGGGATGTCCCTTTACATGGAGGAAATCTGACATCACAAATCCACTCACTCATCTTTCCTCAAAATTAAACAGCCAGAGTTCCTTCCTTTTCTCCTTCGTATGCAGTCCCCTATTATCCTTGCTGCTTTTAATTAGTCTACCTCAATCTGAGAAATGTCTGTAAGAAACTGCGGGGCTCAGTTCCCAGCGAAAGCAACTCCCCTTGAAACCGTTTCAAGTTCAAAGAAAAGTTCATTTATTGAGAAGTAGTGTACAGATCTAGAGCATTGCTGGAACTGAGTCCTGTGTGCACCAAAACTTGATTTTATCCCCTGTCCGTTTCATCTCCCCCACACCCCCCCTTCTGTCTCCAAGTCTCTCGTGCGCATGTCAAAGGTTCTCTTGTGGTCTCACGCTGGTATGGCCTTGGGCATTCCTGAGAACCAGTTAACAGTCCATCCGCGCCTAACGGTTCACCTTCCAACCTTCCCCCCACCTTTTCTCTGTAATGGCAGAAACGAAGCAAGCAAACTAGCAGGACAGTTGATTAATTGCGAGGATTCTGACATGCTGCCCCTCTGGAAAAAGGAATCAGCTTCGGTCTTTGCAGATGAAGACCTGAAAAAAAATTTAGAGAGAGAGAAAACACATATACAATTTTTACAACATTAAATGAAATCATTACTTTGGTTTGTTTGGGTATTTTTTGTAAAAGTCCTTGATTAGCTGCAGTGTTCTCACATGTTTCTTTGCAACCCACTCACATTGAGATTTGGGAAAATGTTTCCATTGAATAAGGAACTGTATTTCTCCTCTGGGTTTTCTGGCATGTAAAATCTCCTTCACTTCAAAATGCTGTTTGCCTTCAATCATTACAGGGTCTGGTGGTGGCTGCATGGCGTGCCACTCTGGTGATTCTTTGCAAGGTTTTAGAAAGCTACAATAAAACACGGGATGAATTCTTTTAAGATTTTTTGGTGACTAGTTGGACTGTGACGGGGTTAATGACCTTTTCTATTATAAAAGGTCCCACAAATTTGGGTCCTAATTTTTTTGGCTGTAGTGTTTTGAGGTACTTGGTCAATAGGTACACTTTGTCTCCTACTTTCCATTCCTTTTCAGGTGATCGCTTGCAATCAGCATATCTTTTGTAATTCTCCCTTGCATCTTCTAACACTGTTTTAATTATTGGCCATGTATCTGTCATCTGTTTAATCCACTCATCCACTGAGGCCACTTGAGTGGATTCCTGGGAAAGTTCTGGGATCAGCACCAAGTCCTGCCCCGTAGCTACTTTGAATGGGGTAAACCCAGTGCTTTCATGTACAGCATTGTTATAAGCCACTTGGGCAAATGGCAGGAGTTCTGCCCAATTGTCTTGCTGATCATTTACAAAGCACCTTAAGTATTGTTCTAACACAGAGTTCAGGCATTCAGAGGCACTGTCTGTCTGGGGGTGGTGACTCGAACTCAGGGCTTGACTTGACTTAACTTCACGAACGCTCTCCAGAACCTTGAAGTGAACTAGACTCCAGAATCGCTAAAGATCCAGTTGGGGGTTCTGTGAGGTCTATAGACATGCAGTATAAACACTTTAGCCAACTTCCCTGCAGAAGGAATAGAGGCGCACGGCACAAAATGCTCTTGTTTCAAGAATAAGTCAGTAACTACCCAGATTACTGTTTTCTTCTTACTTTCAGGTAGTTCAACAATAAAGTCCATAGCAATCTGTTTTCAAGGCCTCTCAGGGTTCGCTACAGATTGCAAAAGATCCAGTGGTTTACCTCCTTGCCTTTTTGCCATAGCGCAGCTGGCCACGCACTCAGCTATGTCTTTCCTCATTGATGGCCACCAAAATTGCCTTCGAAGAAGGTGCAAAGTCTTTACGAACCCAAAATGCCCTGCTGTTTTGCTGTCATGGCCACGTTCTAGGATCAATTTTCTGGATTCAGCTGGGACATACAACTTGCTCCCCAACCACCACGCTCCCTTTTCATTTTTCAAAGAGTCTCTATTCTTTTGGAACCACTCATCTTTCTCTAATTTGCAGTTCAATTCCTTTAACAAATCCCCTTCCGGTTCCTCCTCCTGCTGTTTACTTTGCGCTCGGGTGACAGCCATCATTCCTGTCTGGAAGCAAGGGATAACAGCCGCGACCACCTCCTCTCACTGGCTGTTGTGTTGGAGCAATCTAGAGAGCGCATCAGCCAAGAAGTTCTTCCCCCGGTATATATTTCAAAGTGAAATTAAACTGACTGAAGAACTGAACCCATCTGACTTGCTTTGGGGATAATTTCCTTGGAGATTTTAAAGGCTCTAAGTTTTTGTGATCAGTCTAGACTTCAAACAGATGAGACAACCCCTCTAACAGATGTCTCCAACTCATTAACACCCATCTCACCGCAAATGCTTCTTTCTCCCACACCAACTAGCACCTCTCAGTCTCTGTAAATTTTCGGGAGATGTAAGCACACAAATGTGACACCTCACCTTCAGTTTTTTTGTAGTAAAACAGCCCCTACAGCCACATCTGATACATCTGCTTGGATTATAAATGGCTTCTCAGGTTCAGGGTGTCTTAAAATTGGTTCTGCAGTAAACAACCTCTTTAAATTGCTCAAATGCTGACTGGCATTCTTCTGTCCAACTTAAAGGTGCCCCCGGGTTTTGGGCTTTTGCCTTATCTTTTCCTTTTGTTTTTAAGAAGTCAGTGAGAGGGAGGGTGATTTGAGCAAAGTTCGGAATGAATTGGTGGTAAAAATTCACAAACCCCAGGAAACTCTGTAGCTGCCTGGGAGTTTTTGGCGCCTCCCATCCCACTACATCACCCACTTTACTCAGATCCATCTCAATCCCTCTACTAGATATCCGATATCCCAGATAATCAATTTGCTCTTTGTGAAATTCACACTTGGAAAGTTTGGCATATAACTGGGCATTTAACAGTTTCTTAAGCACTTTCCTCACCAATTCCACATGCTCTTCCATCGTTTCTGTATACAATATCATCCAAATATACCAAGACTCCCCTGTACAAGAATTCATGTAACACTTCATTAATCAACTGCATGAACACCCCAGATGCCCCTGACAATCCGAATGGCATCACCAGATATTGAAAACAACCGAGGGGGCAACTGAACGCTGTCCTCCATCTCCAAGTCTCTCATGCGCGTGTCAAAGGTTCTCTCATGGTCTCACGCTGGTATGGCCTTGGGCATTCCTGAGAACCAGATAACAGTCCATCTGCACCTAACAGTTCACCTTCCAACCTTCCCCCCACCTTTTCTCTGTAATGGCAGAAACGAAGCAAGCAAACTAGCAGGACGGTTGATTGATTGCGAGGATTCTGACAATGTCTATCTTTGGTCTTGTGAAAGTTGAGAAAAGGACTATCAAGAAACGAGAATAAAAATTCAGATCTGTTTGGATTGACATGGAATGAGACAGTGTTGAAGTCACTGAGATTTCAACACTTTGAGGATTCAATTTGGGACCATAATTTAATTTGACATGTTTTCCATGGCCACAGAATCTAGAGTCAGAAATAATGAGCACAGACTGCAGCTATCTAAATTTCATTTGACTATAAGGAAGAATTTTCTGACAGTCAGGTCTGCCCAACAGTGAACAGGTGACCTACAGAGGTTGTGGGTTCTCCATCTCTGGAGGTTTCTGAGAAGATGGGCAGCCACATCTCCTGGATGGTGTAAATCGGTGTTTTTCAAACTTGGCCACTTTAAGATGGGTGGACTTCAACTCCCAGAATTCCACAGCCAGCCATGCTGGCTGGGGAA